AGAGGAGCCATATTTCCCCCAAGAGGGAGCACATGGCCTCCGTTCCCATCCAGCTAGCAGGAGGGTCTGGGGGATAGGAAGTGAGGTAGATGGGAGTTCAGGTGGGTCTGGGCGGAGAAAGAGAGGAGCCAGGAATGTATCTATGGTGGGAACTCCAGGAATGGAAGGAGCTCAGGTGTGGGTGGAGCTGAGGACCAAAGGTGAGCATAATACTAACAGAGTCACAGCGCCACTTCTGGCTTTCTGCTGATTCATGAGCAATAAGTCACGTTCCTGCCTGGGGTGGCTTCAAACTTTGAATCTCAGATCTTAGCCTTCTAAGTAGCTAGGATTACAGGCATAAACCATAAATAAAATGTTATTTGTTGTGCTTTACATTTTCAAGCTTTGGCTTTCTTTCAGAGATCTCTTTGCTGAATTTCTCATTCAAGTGTGTTGAATTTCTCACTCAGACTTTGAATTGACTTTGTGGCTCATCTATCTATTTATCTGAATCCTCCTTGAGAACACTGATTACCTTAAAAGCTATGCTTTTGAGTTCTTTGCCCAACATTTTGACCATTTCAAATCTTTGGATTCAGGTTTTAGAGGTATAAAGTTTTGGAGCAGTCATGCTGTATAGGCTTCTTATATCTCTTGTGTTTCTATGCAACAATTGTGCTTCTTTTGGGATGGGTGCCACTTCTGGTGTTATACGGGTGAGTTCTTAGTTAGAAGCTTTTTTGTTAAGAGCTATTATAAATATGTTCTCCAAGAACCACTGGAGTCATATAATAGACATGGAAACAAATAATCGTCTCAGCAAGGCAAAAGTTACTTCTGTAGAAAGATGTACAGCCAAAAATCTGGCAAACAAGCACACAGAGCAGGCAGGCTCCTCCCTATTTATCCTAAACATAGCAGGCCCCACCCCTCTGCTCAGATTGGTTGAGGTCAGGTTCACAGTCTGCTCCCAATTGGCTAGATTGAAGACAGAAGTATTTACATAAGGTGACTATTAAAAGATTTTGAAATAAGATACAATATAGTTTGAAATAACATAAATACAGTACTTTGAAATAAGATAACAGTACACAAGCAATCTCAGGGCAGTCAGGAGGTGGCTTGACCCTTGGAAAGAGAAATGGAGGAGAATCCTCCTGGACTATCCCTTCCTGGTTTCAGCAGTAAGGGTTGCTGAAAGGAGACTCCCATGCAGTTCAGGCAGAAGAGAGTGTATTAGGAGAACCAAACCCCTGGCCTTCACCAGATGTAGGTGTACAGACAGACAACTTATGGTGGAGAGAGACAATATGGGAGAGGGCCAGGAGGAAGTGTGGCCACAGTTGATGCAGAAGTGATCCCAGAGCCTTGCAGAAGTGACCCCAGAGCCTGGGTCCTTTTGCTGAGTTACAGTCTGGTGATGGACAGTCCAGTGATTGACAATTATAGGTGATTACCAGTTTCAGGCAGGTGATTTCTGGTAAGGCTATGTGCTGTCCTTCAGGAAGAGGAGGGAGGGGAAGGGGCTCTTCTCCCCGGCAGACCTCACACTAGGGGCAAACATTTTCTCTTAGGATGCAACAGGAAGCTGTGGTTGTGGGTGACACCAGGATGCTGTTGGGAGATGTCATTGATATCCTTTAGTTTAGGATGTTTTTTTTCCCTAATTAGGTAATTTCTGCATCCAGACTAGAACCAAAGCATTCACTTAATTTGCATCTAATCCTAGAGGCATTAGATACTATGGGTCTTTGGATATTTTGCCGTTTTTGTAAATCCTGTGGACCCTAAGAGCATAATTTTTCTACATATAATTATTTTGTTTAGTTTAAACCTGTGGCTTCTTTGGAAATGATACACATATACACAGACATATATGATATACCCAATAAAGACTAATTATTATTATTATTATTATATTGCTAGTACTGGGGCTTAAACTCAGGTCCTGGAGTTCTTGCTCAGCTTTTTTTGCTCCCAGCTGGCACTCTACCACTTGAGACACACCTCTAATGCTTCATTTCACTGGCTAATTGGATATGAAGTCTCATAGATTTTTCTAACTCTTCTGGCTTTGAACTTTGATCCTCCACGTCTCAGTCTCTTGAACGGCTAGTACTGTAGGTATGAACCACTGGTGCCCAGTGTGAAATAATTTTTCAATAGAAGTTCTAATTCAAAAATTGGTTTAAGCTGGGTGCTGATGGCTCACATTTATAATTTTAGCTACACAGGAGACTGAGATCTGAGGATCATGGTTCGAAGCTAGCTGGGGCAGGAAAGTCTGTGAGATTCTTATCTCTAATTAACCATCAGAAAACTGGAAGTGGAGCTGTGACTCAAAGTGGTAGAGTACTAATCAGAAAAGCTCAGAGACAGAACCTAGGCCCTAGGTTTAAGCCCTATGACAGGACAAAAAAAAAAAAAGAACTTGGAGAATGTGGGGAAAGAGAGGCTGAAGTAAAGAGCTGATGTGGTTATTTTCAGGCAAGTCTTGACTTTCTTCCTTTTCCCTCTCACCCGAGTTATTGAAAGGATCTGTCACATCCTACCTCACTTCCTATCCTCCAGACCTCGCTGCTATCTAGAGAGTGGAGGCTGCCATGTGCACTCTTTCTCTCTCTCTCTCTGGGAAAAATATGGCTCCTCTAATAAACCTTGTGATAATCTTTCTCCTGTGCCTGCCTGCCTCCTCATGGTCCCCTGGCATGGATGTGAAGGATCCTTTGATTGATCTTTTCAGTTATATCATAATCTGCTTTAGTTCACTTCACCTGATCTTACTCATAATCATACATGCAAGACAGTGTCACAGCCACATCCCTATGTGTGTTCAGTAAATAAACAGACTAGGAAAACTTGGCCTATATGCATCCATTTCAAGAGAAGCTGAAAAAAATTAACAAGATACAAAAGAAGGCAAGACTTCCACATATTTGCATCACATAGCCAAGCTCAAATAACTAGAAGTGACAAGTATAGAGAGGAAAATCATGTATTTGTGTAAACCAGGCAGCTCAGAACCAAAGCCTCAGGATAGACAAAATTATCTAGTGGAGTCAGGAATGGTGGTACATGCCTGTAATCGTAGTATTCAGGAGGCTGAAGCAAGATGGTCATGAGTTTGATACCACCCAGTACTCTGTGATAGAAAGATCTCTTCTCATAAAATAAAACAAATTATTTCCTCAAATCTGTACTGTCAAGAGAGATTTAGTGGAGAGACAGTGATCCTAATGGAAGTGACACTTCTGCATCCTGGGGACCCTGGGGAAATCAGAGATGGCCATGGAGTCTGCACCTCCCCCTGTTCAAAAGTCCTAGAGAGAAAGCCTTGACTTCTGGTGGAGTCTTTAACTCCTTCTCTGAGACTGCAAAGACCTTGAGGACTTTGGAGCAGCTTTTCCAGGCTGCGGGGAGGGGTGGGGGGGGGGGTGGGGGGTGGCAAATGCCCCTCCCCCTGGGGGAAAGAATGTATGACTCAACCAGATGCCAGGGCAGCCAATATGCATCTGAAAGATTATAAAAAGAGGGACTGCCTTCCCCATAAGCCTACGATGGCGCTAAACTATTAAGACTCCACTTCTAGCTCTCTTACTCAGAGAAGTCTATATTTTTTCCTCCTTGTCCGGGAGGCAGTAAATAAGACTTGAGGCAGCCCTAACCCACAAAGAGCAAAGAGGCCTTTCCTCGGTGTCTCCCGGTGTCTTATGCTTTACTTTCAAATCTACGCATGCTTTTCCTGCCTCGTAATTCTCTATCTAGTGGAATTCCTCTGCAGTGGAGTCTAGTTTGGCTCCATAATAAACCTCTCCATGTCTTTCTCTGTCTTTTTGGTCTCCTTCAAGTCCTTGTTGGACTGAAACAAGGGGAACCTGAAGGGCACCCCTGCAACTAGATAACTACTGTTACCCCAAATTTAATTTATAAATAGACTCCAAATGGTGGTGCTAGTTAGATCTTTGCTGTGACAAGATACTTGGAGTTTCAAGGAGCAAAGATGGTTTTTGCTTTATAACTTTACAGGTTTTAGTTGAAGTTTGCTTGGGGCAGCAAGACACACCCTAGGAAAGCCAACTCCCCCACCCCCTTTTTTCAATATTCTATTCAAATTCTGAGCCCAAGGGGAGGGGGTGAAATCCGTGATTAAATTAGAGTCCTCACTTGACAGTCTAAATCTACTCAGCTCTGCCTGCACAAACACACCCTGAGTTAATTTTCCTAATCCCCAAGGAATCTCTTAATCCAATCAAGTTGACAATCAAGAGTCCTCACAATTGGTTGACTATTTAATGAAAGGATTAAATCAATTCCTATTTAAGAAAGGGTGGGCCCAGCTCTGGTTCTTGGGAGCAGTCTACTGAGAGCAGTTTAGTTTGCTCTGGTCTTTGAGGAGTCCATTTGAATTCCCAGAATGCTTCCAAATAGTAAGTTTCTCCCAGTGTTGCTGGTTTTCTGTCGTAGAACTTAGGAACTTTTACATTACAACCATGATTGTCAAAAAACATTTGAGAGGGAAGTGGGTTTTTTTTGTTGTTGTTGTTTTGTTTTGTTTTTTCCTTTCCGGGATTAATTGGGTCAGTGGCTGGCTGAGTATTTTGAAATTGGATTCCGGGATTTCCCAACACCTCAGAGAGCTAGCTGGGTCTATCTGATGAGATTAAGGGAACAATGAAAGTCCTAAGGTTCGTATTTTAATGTTATTAAATGCTGTCTTAGAGTTCAAACACAACTTTTTAGTATTTTATTTCAGGGTCTTAATTCTTTTTTTTTTTTTATTGTTTGGAGTCATTGATTTTCGTGAAGATTTCCCATTTTGAGTTGCTTCTTTTTCTTTTCATGATACTACTGTAGGATTTCTGTCAGTTCTTGCTTAGATTATGGAGTTATGTGTTTATAGTCTGTGTCTGCTTAGATTCATGTTTATACCATCTTGGCAAGTTATACTTTTCAGTCTGGCATAAACATAGGAAGTATGTGCTCCATAAACTGACTTTATACTTCTTTCTCTCTTTTAGACTCCCTAGAAAGAGAAGCCCGTCGGCAGAGGATTATTTTGAGCCAGAGTCAAAAGGATACTCTCTGTGCATGGTTCGAAAAGAACCCTTATCCTGACTTAGCTGCTAGGGAGTCTATGGCCAGAGAAATGGGCATCTCAGAGTCCCAAATTCTGGTAGGTGCTAGGTTTCTGTTTCCTTTCTTATTTTTTTCTAATCTGTTATTTTAATTTATTTTGAAATTTAAAAATTGTTGTTTCCAAGTAGATTTTTTTGTATGAAAACTGAGCATTAAAACCTGTTGACATTGTTTTCAGGAGAAGGGAAGGAGAGGGAGGGAAGGAGTGAGATTGATTGGAATATGTTGTATACAGGTGTGGAAATGTCACAATTAAGTTTCCACTCCCACCCCTGTGTAACTTATGTATGGTAACAAACAAAACAACAAGACTGAGGAGTATGTGTGTGAGAGAGAGAGACACACACACACAGAGGGAGAAAGGGAGAGGAGAAAGAGAGAGAAGGAATAAAAATGGAGGGTGGGAGGGGGAGAGAGCAACAGTATCGCAAATCAGGGAAGTTTAATTCAAATGCCATTAAAATGACCACAGAAAGCATGCTAATCAGAATGCTGACCGATTCTTATTTGAACTTGAACGTGATGTTAGTATTCTGTGGCAATAATGATATTCATTGAAGAATTCATTGCTTTTTTTCTTATGGACATTGCTTCAAGGACAGATGCCTAATAAGTTTTGTTTGGTTAGATTGATGTCTGAAGGATCTTGACGGGTTTGCATTTTCTTCCTGCTGCCCTGGGATTGAAAACAGGGACAAACTGGCTAGACAAGCAGTCTTTTCAGAATCCAGAGTTCAGGTACATTCTGTATCTGTGGCACCATATTTGTTCTATGTAGACATGGTATTACTTCCTCAGAAGCTACTGAACTTGAACCTGGCACTGAACTTGACAGATATGGGCCATTTGGGATTTTCCTATTGCTTGGGAGAAAAGACATGGCATACATACACCTGATACCATGAGTCAGAGTCTGGCAAAAGGAGAAATATTTACATCTGACTGGAAGATGTGCAGCCACTGGGAAAGAGTACCAAGACAAAAGTGGAAAAGGTGAAAGTTACATTTTCTTTTCCAATTTAGACTTGGTTTCAAAAGCACAGACGACTCAAACAACGGGAGTCTGAATGCTTCTTTAGAAAGAATCAACCTCAGGGGCAAGCCAAGGCTCAATTTAAGACTCAAGGTAAGAACCTATTGGCCCAAATACAATCATCTCCTCCATGGTTCTCTTTCTTTCTTTCTCTCCTTTCTTTCTCTCCTTCTTTCTTTCTTTCTTTCTTTCTTTCTTTCTTTCTTTCTTTCTTTCTTTCTTTCTTTCTTTCTATCTTTCTTTCTTTCTATCTTTCTTTCTTTCTTTCTTTCTCTCCTTTCTTTCTTCCTTCCTTTCTTTCTTTCTTCCTTCCTTTCTTTCTTTCTTCCTTTCTTCCTTTCTTACTCTTTCCCTTTCTTTTGCTTGCTTGCTTGCTTTCTCTCTTTCATTTCTTCTCTTTCCCCTTCCTTCCCTCCCTCCTTCCCTCCTTCCTTCCTTCCTTCCTTCCCTCCCTCCTTCCCTCCCTCCTTCCGTCCCTCCTTCCATCCCCCCATACTTCTTACTTATTTTGCCATACTGAGGATTGAACTCAGGACTTTGCATCCTGCATTTGCTACTTAGGCAATACTCTAGTCTCTCCTCCATAGATTTTTTTTTTAAATAGTGTCAATAGCTTTACTTGTCTTACTCAAATTTCTGTGAAGAATGCTTAGAATCAGGACTAATGCAGAGTCAGAGATAAGCATTCTCTCACTATCTGGAAGAGAGAAGGCAGTGTCTTAGCAAGATAAGCGTCATACCTTGTCAATCCCCTGCAGCTGTGCAGTGGAATAGTGTGTCCTGTCACTGCTGGGATCTGATCCCTGAGTCAGGACAGGTTAATAAGGTCCTGGCAGAATGGCTATTCCAAAAGTAAAAAGACTGTTCAAATTTGAGTATGAAAAATACCCAACAAACCCTATTTTGTGTCAATGTTCTCCTTAGCAAAAGAAGCTAGAAGAACCCGGACTCACTTCACAAGATGTCAAATCAATATCCTAATTCAAGCTTTTAATGAGAACCGCTTCCCTGGGATTGCAACCCGGGAAAACCTGGCTAGACAAACAGGCCTTCCAGAATCCAGAATCCAGGTACATACTGTGTCTGTAACATCCTATTTGTCCTATGTGGAAATGGTATTAGCTCCTCAGATGCTACTCAACTTGAACTTGACATTGAACTTGACAGGTGTGGGCTGTTTGGGATTACCCCACTGCTCTGTAGAAACAGTATGGCGTGCATATACCTGACACCATGAGTCGTAGTCTGGCGAAAGGAGAAGTATTTTCATCTGACTGGCAGGTATACAGGCACTGGAAAAAAGAGTACCAGAGCAAAAGTGGAAATGGATTGCGCATACATGGATAACACAATCTGTGTTGGTGTTTTTAATCCTTGGCAACCCTATCAGCAGTCATGGGGGCATCACATCATGTGTGTGTGTGTGTGTGTGTGTGTGTGTGTGTGTGTGTGTGTGTGTGTGTGTGTGTGTGTGTGTGTGTGTGTGTGTGTGGCAGCGGGGAGGAGGGGAGGAGATAGTAAGCAGCATTTCTGGTCTCTTAGGATCTAGGTACCATATACATCTGTCTCATTCCAACCTGTGGTGTAATCTAAAGAAATCTAGAGCTTCACCAATAAGGGCAGATATAAGAGATTGTCCCTGGCTGACAAGCCCTGCTGTTTGTAAGTCATGAGGATTTTGATTTTGTGTATAGGAAGCGTTTATGTTTTTTTTTTTTTTTGCCAGTCCTGGAGCTTGAACTTGCAGCCTGGATGCTGTCTCTGAGCTTCTTTTGCTCAAGGTTAGCACTCTACCACTTGAGCCACAGTGCCACTTCCAGTTTTCTAGTGGCTAATTGGAGATAAGTCTCATAGACTTTCCTGCCTGGGCTGGCTTCAAACTGCAATCTTAAATCTCAGCCTCTTAAGTAGCTAGGATGGTAGGTGTGAGCCACCAGTGCCTGGCTGTTACATGATTTCTGAGATGTGTCCTTAGAGTAATCTTTGCAACACTTCCCTTTGTAGCCTCAAACTATGCTCTTACAGCCTGTTCACAAGCTGTGTGTTCTTAAGGGCTCCTTAGCAGAGTGGAGAAATTCAGTCTGCTCTAGAGAGAGATCTCATTTCTTGACCCAGTATTGGGGACTAGAAGAAAGACCTTCTCCTTTTTTGGTCATAGTATTATTTAGTATATGGTCATGTGTCAGTTGAGCTTTGTGTTAGTCTTGATTGTCAACTGAATTGAAAAAGCCTTTAAAGATTAGGGAAGTTCATATCTGGGTGTATTTGAGAGCATTACAAGAGGTGTTTGATCTTGAGGGCTGTGTCACTGGTTTAATGCATTGACAGGTTTGTACTTTAAGTAGACTTTTGAGAGCTATAGACTTTTGGTGAAGCTATAGAAAGACAGACCTGGTTGGATGAAATGGATTTCTGGGGTCATGCCTGTCCCTACTAATCATCTGGTTAAAAGATGAGAAAAAGGTAGAGTCTCTGATAGCTACCTAGACCCCCCCCTCTTTTAAATTTAATTTTATTGTTATTATTAAGGTGTGTACAGAGGGGTTACCATTTCATGTCAGTACATTTCTTTTTTTGGACAATGTTACTCCTTCCTTTGTTTTCTTCTAAATTTCCCCTCCTCTCTCTACTCACAAATTACATAGTTGATTTTCCATAGTATATGCTGAATAGAAAGACTGAATTTCTTCACTCTTCCTCCTTCCCTTTCTGCATCCTCCCTTTGCACCCACTAAAAAAGAAACCAAGCAAAAAGAAACAACAACAATAACAATAACAAAAAATCTCTCTCTTTCTGTTTAAGATATGGTTTCAGAACCGAAGATCTCGGCACCCAGAGCAGAGCCAAGGTAGACCCATGGCTTCATTGGCAAAAGGTCCGAATCAGAGCCCTCCTGAGGCTGATCAGCAGACCCAAAGCAGTCAGTGCACTGCTCCAGACAAGTCTGGTCATCTGTCTCCTGCTATAGCTTCCACCAGGACTTCGTCCCTTGAAGCAGCAGTTTGTCCATCCAATACAGACTCAGTTCCATTGAACTCATTGGGGGGCAATGAAAACCAGTTACCAATGGCTGTGATGGTCCAGCCCTCCCCGGCTGTGCAGGGAAAAGAGGTTTCTAGTCACTTGTCAATGAATTTGGGAGGGGAGCCCTCACATACTCCGTTCTGTCCCCCAGTCCAAGGGGGAGGTAGGGACCCCAGAGAGCTCACAGACCTGGCAACGCTGCCTCTCAGAGTCTCTCCTCAGCCTCTACCTGGTAACCAACCATTGCAGCACCAAGATGAGTATTTCTTTCTGCACTTTTGGGATGAGTGGTTCCAGTCATTCATTGCTGAATGGGAACCTGAGAAAGGCTACTATTGGTCTCCTGGCCAGAGTGAGATACAGGAGATACAGGTTCAGAGCCAATCACCTGAAAATTCTTCTCAGCTGTCTCAGGAAGCTCAACAGCACCAGGTGTGAACCTTGAGCCTTTTTGGAGAAGACTTGTGAACCACAAATTAAAACTGGAAGACAAAAAATCTTGGGGAATCCAGAGGCATGAGTGGATGACTACCCATGTCCTGATAGCTTCTCAGTGTGGATTTTCAGATCTTCACATAGTGGGAAAGTTCAAATGAAGGAGCATCTCAGAACTCAGATCCAGGCTTTCTCTCTTTGGAAGCAAAAATTCTGTGTGATGGCCAGGCACTGGAGGCTTACGCTTGGTATCCTAACTATTCACACCAGGAAGCTGAGATCTGAAGATGCAGATCAAAAACAGGTCAGGCAGAAAAGCTGGAAGTGGAGGTATGGCTGCCAAAAGAGAGCTCAAGGTACAGAGCTCAAGCTGCATACCAGCTGCACACACACACAATTTTAGTGTCATTTAGAATGGACAATGAACAACTTCTCTGGAGTGGGTAAAAAAAAAAAAAGGAGCACCGAATCTTGTAAACCCAGAGACAATATGTTGTTGTTGTTGTTTAGTTTTGATACTTGGACTCTCTATCTTATTTAATTGGTCTTGAAACCAAGCACTCTAGTGATCCTCCTGTGTCAGCCTCCCAGGTAACTGGGATTCCAGACATGTACCCCCATCTCTGCTTTATCTTTAATTGTGATAGTAAAACCTTCACAATAGTTGGTTTGCCATCTTAACACTCACCAAGTATGTGGCATGATGGGGCTAACTATATTCATGTACTGCAGGTATCTATAACTCAGATCTCCCTCTCCTGAGTAGCTAGGAGGTAAGCTTTCACTTTATGTCCAGGCCAGCCTGGGCTGTCTTCCTCCTGTTTGTGTTTCCCTGTGTCACTGCAGATGACAGGCATGTAAATTGTGTATCCCCTTGCACTTGGGTAACAGGCATGTGTCACCAGGCCCAGCCAGTGACTGAGATGGAAGCTTGTGAATTCTTCCCCAGTTGCCTTGGAACCAAACTCATTCCCAAGTAGTTAAATGACAGGTATGAGCCACGGCTGCTGAGCTCTCATAGATCTTTTATTATTTAAAAAATTGGACTCGCATAGGAGAGAAAATATGGTGATGTTTGCCTTTGTATTGGTGTGCTTTGGCTCTTATTACCAAATACCACTGGCTGATGTTCTAAACAGTAGAACTCTATTTCCTCACAGCTAAAAATAGCATGAGGTGTCTCTTGGGCTTAAGCCTCCTCACTTGGCTGGGAGACTGCTGACTGCTGGGCTCTCTTGTGTTCATTTCCAAGGTCTTTTCCTCTGCTTGTAAGGATATCAGTTGTATTAGACTATGGTCCATGAGGATGTCCTCATAGAACACTGCCTATTTAAAGGCCTTACTGTATATTCAGTCCCACTGAGGGTTAGGAATTTTGCCTGTGAATTTGGAAGGGGCATAATTCAGTCCATAGCTCCACTGAACTACAATCCTCCCTTTCTTCTTTCTCTTGCCCCAGGCAACCACTATTCTGCTTTGTGTTTCTGTGAGTTTGATGACTCCACAGCTCATATATTGGAATTGTACACTATCTGCTCTTTGTAATTAGTTTATTTCACTCAAGGTGTTTTCATGACATGGTTCAAGTGGTATAGCACCACCACCCATGAGTGAAAAAGGGTTCTTTTATGTTCTAGCCTGTGGCAAGATTCTCTTTCTAAACACTGAAGTATATTCCATTGCAGGTGTATATTACATTTTCTTTACCCATTTATCCACTAGGGATTTGGGTTGGTTTCAACTCTTGGCTCTTGTAAATAATAACAAATATGGATATGCTTTTCTGCTCATCATTTAATCCAGTATTTGTTAAGGAAGAAAACCACTTGAAGAAATGGACACAGATAATGAGTTGCTCATAGGACTTTCATTGCTCAGGCAAAAAAGTAAGAATTACTCAGGAAATAGGAGCAAGAATTGACAGATAGGACTTCAACAACTTAAAAGCTTAGCAATTGAGGTCAATAATCAGAATGAAGAGAAAACCCACAGAATGGGAGAGAGTGTTTGCAAAGTATTCACTGGACAAGGGGTTCATACCCAGAATGTAAAAAGAAAAGAAAGAACAATCCCATTCACACATGGGCAAATGAACAGTCAGTTGTCAAAAGAACAAATGGCAAACATCCACGAAGAGATGCCCAACATCCTTATGTAAATCTGAAATGGCACCGAGATTCTCACTACTCCCCCAGCATGGCAATCATCAAGAAAACAAACTACAAATGCCAGCTAAGGTGTGAGGAAAGGAAGCCTTGTATGCTGTTGGTGGGAATGTAAACTAGTACAGTCCCTGTAGAAATCAATATGGACAGTCTTAAGAAAGCTAAAAAGAGAAGTGTGGTATGATCTTGTCATATCACTCCTGAGCATGTCTGAAGAAATGTAAGTCAACATACAATAGAGATAACTGCATATACACACTCATTTTAGGTAGGGTGGGGGGGAGGAGTTAGCTTGGGGACCAGGGCTTTCAGTGCTCACTGGCTTCTGAATCCCAAATTCTTGTAAGCAAACTTTATTTAGGTTTAGTACAAGGAAGAGTACCATGGGTATATGCAGAAAACAAGGCCTGTCATTACAGTCAGAGACAATACCCAGTTTGTGAGAATAACTAGCTCCCTTATTGTTTTGAGAGTGAACACGACAACCCAGGCATAATTCAAACATGTATTCTACTTTCTCTAGCTTTCAAGGTCCAGCTCTCAGACCTTCCAGCACTAAGGAAGGGGGCAGTATTCCAGCCTCTTAGCTCTCTCCAGAGCTGGCTGTATTAACCTTACCAAAGACAGTGCTCAGCATTCCAAGTACTGTTGAGACAGCCTTCCTACCTCTCAAATGTCTCCAGGTCTTGCAGCTCAGCTTCAGCATTCTCTGTAGAATTAGTCTAGGTACTCATCAAGAATGGATCACAGCTGAGTGCCAGTAGCTCATACCTGTCATCCTAGCTACTCAGGAGGCTGAGAGCGCTGAGGATCATGGTTCCAAGCTAGGCCAGGTAGGAAAGTCAGTGTGACTTTTATCTCCAATGAACTACTCAGAAAAGGCTAGAAGTGGTATGGTGGCTCAAGTGGTAGAGCGCTAGGCTTCAGCAGAAGCAGCACAGGGACAACACCCAGGTCCTGAGTTTAAGCCTCAGGATTTGCAAAAAAAAGAGAGAGAGGGAATGGGTCTCACCAAAATGTGGTACGTGTAAGGTGATGGAGTATTACTCTTGCAAGAAGAAAAATGAAACTATGTCATTTGCAGGAAAATGGATGAAACTATAGACATCATCATGTGGAATGAGATTAGCCAAGACCAGAAAGACTAATATGCTTTTCTCTAGGAAAAATCTAAACCTAAAAAAGAAACAAAAACCTAATATGAGAAGATTATTAAAAGGCGACTTTTAGGGAGTGGAGAATCAGCTGGTGGCAAAAGGGGGAAATAGGGAAATTATGACTAATCAACAAACTGTTACAAGTAGGATGGGAAAAAGAGAAGGAACTAATGTATTTTTTTCTTCATTGTCAAAAGTTACGTTGCATGTATCTGTGTGGACTGATTTGTGGGTTTTCAATCCTATGACACTGACTTTTGTGTCTGTTTTTTTTTTTTTTTGGGTCCAATCATGGGGCTTGAACTCTGGGCCTGGGCGCTGTCCCTCAGCTCTTCAGCTCAAGGCTAGCACTCTACCACTTGAGCCACAGTGCCACTTCCGGCCTTTTTTCTTTTTGCTTATGTGGTGCTGAGGAATCGAACCCAGGGCCTCAGGTATACAAGGCAAGCGCTCTACCACTGAGCCACCTTCCCAGTCCCTGACTTTTGTGTCTGTTTTTGTGCCAGGACCAGACTGATTTTTAGACCATGGCTCTGTAGTCTAGTTTGAAGTCAGGTTTTATTCTTCAGGTTTGTTTTGGATGTTTGGGATTTTTTGTGTTTCTAGATGAAATGAGGATTATTTTTGCTATTTCTATGAATGTCACTGAAATTTAGATGAGGATTCTGTTGAATTTTGCTTTTGGTAATATGACCATTTTGACAATAATAATTCAGCCAATTCATGAACATGGGAGGGAGGTTGTTCCATCTTCTAGTGTCTTCTACAATTTCTTCTCTCAGTGTTTTATAGTTTTCATCATAGAGTCTTTAACATCTTTGGTTAAGTTTACATGTTATCTTTTGGGACCTATTATGAATAAGATTGTTTTTCTGACTTCTGTTTTTAGTACATTTTTCTTTTTACATTCATGTATAGAAAAACTACTGATTTTGCTTGTTAAATTTTGATTTTACTGGAACAGTAAAAACAATGAAAAAGCAAAAATCAAGCATTTAAATCTACCAAAATGAAGAACTGGAAATGAGAGGAGCTAAGCCAGGTACTGGTGGCTTAATACCTGTCATTCTAGGCACTCCAGATCGTGGTTTGAAGCCATCCCTGGAGACTCCTCCAAAATAACCAGCAAGAAGCCAGACTGGAGATAAAACTCAAGAGGCAGAGCGTTTTTCTGGGAAGGTGGGCAGGGTAGAGAGAGGCGCTGAGGATCATGGTTCCAAGCTAGGCCAGGCAGGAAAGTCAGTGTGACTTTTATCTCCAATAAACTACTCAGAAAAGGCTAGAAGTGGCACGATGGTAGAGCACTAGGCTTGAGCAGAAGCAGCACAGGGACAACACCCAGGTTCTGAGTTTAGGCCTACTCTGTGCAGTCCATCATCGCAGCCCAGTATGGCCTTGGAGAGCAGAGGGCAGTCCTGCCTCCCTACACACACCTACCGCCCCGGGGCCATTTCATTCTCCTGGGTACCAGCAGAAGGCCCAGGTGGCCCAACAGCTCAAGGTCTGTGCTGTAGCCCGCCTGGCCACCACCAACCCATCTCTGTCCCCAGGCCTGGTGAGCCTGTGTCCTGCAGTAGGAGTTTGTCTTGTCCTCCAGGAGGCCTAGAGCTGCCAGCGGGATCGCTGGAGGGTTTGGGAGGGCGACCCGCCCTTCTCCCCCACCCCTCTCCCCAGCCCCACC